ACATAGATCCGTCCTAGATGCGGACTTGCATACACACAGTATCACTCCGCAGCCGCACCCCATCAGTAACGTCCTGATGGTATATGTGCGCGGCACTATTACTACAGACGGTCAACTTGAAAAATCACTCGCAAATTGTTAACGATGCCGAGCCGCTTTAAAGTACACAAGTAGTTCGAGGAAATTAGCGACGCACATAAAGAGGCGACGTGGGTTCTGCGGCTGAAAAGAGAAACCTGAAAGTTAGACACATGAGTTAAATCACTCAGTGAGGTGTTCTGTCAGAGAGAGTGATGTTTAGCTTACAGCAGCCTGTGACGGCCAATAATAATTTAAATGTCTTCCTTACTGTAAGCAGTTATGAAATACCTGTTTGTGAAAGGTTATTTGTATTATTTATTGTTCATATAGAAACCACTGCTTTCTGCTCACTGGTGAGTTAACCTATGAATGAGTGTTAAGCACATCAGGCTGGCAGCTGTATGGGCATTGCTCTATGGTAGCTGTTATTTGCACATTGTTAATCATGAGCAATGCATCCTTACATTGTTTAACTGTGAGGTGTTATACAATTGTACTCTGGAGAGCTTTTAAAGGTAAAAAAATAAACGGCATGATGGGATGTCCAGTACCAAATATGTAAAGCACTTTTTTGTTAATGTATGATTTGCTGCATATAAGGAATAAAACAAAAATCCTCTGTCGTACCATATTGAAGTATCATTATTTTGCATCGTATTGAATCGCATCGTATCGCCCCGAATCGCATAATGTACGATGCAAAATAATGATACTTCAATATGGTACGACAGAGGATTTTTGTTTTATTCCTTATATGNCACACACACACACACACACACACACACACCTTTACGTCTGATGAGCAAAGCCAGTTCTCTGGAGTGTGACTCTCGGCTGGCTTTTATGAACATGACAACCTGATCATGTGTGTGTTCAGAAATGTCTCGACCGTTGATGAGAACTATCAGGTCTCCCTCCAGGAGTGTAGGCTCACATCGACCTGCCTACAAACAACACAGAGTCATTAAAGAAGCTGACATCACACCACACGTCAATCTGAAGTTCATTCTATATCGGGGTCTATTAGTGCAGATATATAATAATAATAATAATAATAATAATAATAATGCATTTTATTTATATAGTGCATTATTATTATTATTATTATATGAGGATTATGGTCTATGTCAGCAAACCGGTAACAAGAAAAAACCAACATGACAAACTGAGTCTGAGCTACACTAGAAAACAGTGTCACCAGTACATAGTTTGTCCACCAGAGAGCACTTTTAGGGACATTTTTCAACTGTAAAAATGTATCGCTCATTAATTAACTTGGCAACAATGACTATATATATGAATCTAGGGAATCTGAATCAAGATATTGTGTTTGTTTTGAATTGATATTTTCTTCAAATGACCACTGATCAAACATGGATAACTGTATTGACGCTCAACATTCCACATACTAACACGTGCTTTTTAAATCTTTATTATTAAAAATTCTTCCGAACTCATCGACTAATTGTCAGCATTTATATACACATCATATACATAAATGACATCACAATAGCCTTTTATTTTTCTAGCAAGCAACCAATTATCTGCCCATATTCAAAATACGTCATCATCAGTCCGTACTTTGAATGATAATTCCTCATTAAGGAGTTTTGACGTCACCTGGAGACACCAGGCCGTAAAAACACAAACATGACTGTTTCGCTCTTACCGGAGAGTCAGGTTTTACGTGGGAAATTGCTAGAGGCATCTTTTGATCCACTCCACCCTAGGAGGAGTTGGGAAATAAATGTAAGAGGAGTGGAGGAGTTACAACACAAAAATAATGTGAGTAAATAAAAACTAAAACATTGCCTTGTGTGGCGATTCTAAGAAAGAAAGAGACTCACTTTAACAATGAAGCCAAACTTGCCGTCGTGATCGGGCGCGATGCATAACAGCATCAAGTCCCCGTCGCCGAGAGCCCCCTGCATCACACAAGACCTCAGAATGAATGCACATGGATGGATTAACAGTCACAAACTTGATGATGAGATAACGGACCTTTTGGTAGTGTTGTGAGCTGTGTTCTGCATCGTCCTCTCCTATACTGCCATCAATATGCATCGAAGCCTCATCATGGCTGGGAGAGCCAGGACCGCTGGAAGGGAGGAAATTACGACATTTTGTTTACCCTGATTTAAAGAATAAAAGATAATATGGATGTGATAATAATGTAATTTCTTCCTTTGGTTATAATAAATATTTTCACAACACACGTTAGACGTATTTTCTCACGCCTTTCTGAAGGTTTACATGTGTATTACCGTTTGATTTAATTATTTCCTAATACATTTCTATGTGTTTTATACTGTTGCTTTAATGTTTCATTAAGTGTTTTGAAGGGCAGCAATAATTAAATAAATTAATAATTGTCATTATTGTATTCGTATCATTTGTATTATTCATAAACATCACTTTCTTACAGGTTGAAACCCTTTCTATTTTTCCAAACATCCAGATTTCAAAATTTCAATTCTACAATCCACCATGAATCCCACTGAGAGGGATTTTCAAAATGGGCCAAAGAAGTAGACAGACACACACTTCTGTTGTAACTGATACTTACTGATGCGGTGAATTGTCTCCCTCGCTGTCCTTGCTGCTGCTCACAGACGCCCTGTATGTGTAGAAGACGTCCTCCCCCTCCGACATGTCTTTCATGTCATTGGTTAGTTCAAATGAGGATGGGCGGGGCTTGCGGATGCCGTGGCGAACTCGTGGACTTCGCCTGCCGGAGAGACATACAGGCAAAACAAGGGGAGAGAAAGATTTGAATCAAATAACACAATATGAGTTCAGAAAGAAAAGATGCTGGATATGTCATGGTGGTCGGGTCATACCAGTTGGGGGTGTTTGGGGGCGATCTAGACGGCAGACTCACGGTCTCTAGGTGATCTGACGAAATCGACCTCCGCAGGACTGGGTTCCACACCATCCCCCCCACCACCCGCTGGCCCACTGGGCCGCTACAAATTAGGAAGGAAAATAAAGTTTTTAGTATTTATCTGGAGCATGTACAGACGGATATACTGTCTGTACAGGTGCAAGGCTCACCTCTCAGTTTTAGTGTTGCTGAGGCCCAGGTGTTGTGTTATTAGCTTTTTGTAGGCCTGAACGGCGCTGTTGTTGTTTCTGGGGCTCCTGGCGGTCCGGTTGGAGCTGAAGAAAGAGTGATGATCCACACAGGACCTCCACAGGTTCTTACAGGTCTTGGGACAGGGCAGAACCAGAGGCACCTCACAGTCCTGCGTCTCCCCCTAAAACATAGACTTTTTTTAAATGCTTGATATTGTTGGAGTTCTTTGCAAATCAAATATTCAAGGTTATGTCTCTAACTTAAGTTGCTGCTCAGGATGCCGTAAATAAAAGACTGCCTCTTCTGGTATTTTTCTATGAATGATTTAATACTTGTCACACACAAACACACACAGAGATAACCTGCCAAAATTGTGGGCATGAATCATTCAGTCAGTGCCATATTCACGTCTACTGACCATGTAGTAGTCACATTTGTGTAATTCTGCAGAAAGATTAGAGCTGTAATTACAGCCAAGCTTAAAATACAGTCACAAAAATCAATTGTGCTGACTTCAAACTTTCAATAGATGTACATGTTAAGAGTGTGGAGCAATTAAATGAAACCGTGTATTCAAAGCAGACCTTTTACAATATCTAAGAACAAATTAATCACACAGTGACTCACGTGTTTACGTTTCAGATGTATAAGAAAGCGTTTCCTTTTGAATGAAATCTTGATGATATTCCCCCTACATGTGAAGAATGCAATTGGTTGAAGGAAATGGAGAAAATACAGGAACAAGATATATAATTAGCGTGATTATCACTCACCAAGGGAAGAAACTGGAGCAAATCATATTACAGAATATTGCAACACCACTGGAGGCCAAACCCACCATCAGAGGGGCGTCGTTGGTGTCCTGAAACAGAAAGACCAGGGATCGACAGAAAGAGTCAAACATGAGAGGAACATAGAGGAAGAAACATGAAGTGTATCATTAAAGTTTAAAGGGTCAGTTTGGATGTTTTGAAGTGGGGTTGTATAGGGTACTTATCTATAGTCCGTGTATTAATATTGTATACAGTTGCCAACCCCCCAGATTGGAGAAACAGAAAGGAATATATAGCAAAGAGGCAAAGCAATGATGTGGACAGGGGGAAGCAGCAAAACACATTGTAGCCATCTCGTAAAATCAATATCAGTTTAATGCACGTTATATCTAGAATATTTTCAATGCTTTACCTTATATTTCATATTCTATAATAATATTTTATATTCTATAATTCACTGCATTCTATTTCGCTGTAAATTACTGCTTTATGTTATTGCTATCTAACTATATTTTTTTACAGTGTTCTTATTATAGTTCGCTATCTGTGTACTTTTTTTTATTTTTTGTTTTATATTTTATATATGCACCATGACATCAAGTCAAATTCCTCGTACGTGTGAACCTACCTGGCAATAAACCCGTTTCTGATTCTGATTCCCTTTCCATTGGGAACTTAATGTAATCTATAATCTCTTCAAAGACACCTCACTATTGACAAAAACATACTTGCAAAACACAAACGTTTAGTTTGAGTGTGTTACGTGTGACTGAGGCCCCGGCCCCACGAGGACGAGGACCCTTCTTAAAGGGTAAGTTTGGATCCACCAAGTAACACATAACATAAACAACTAACCAATGGAGGCGAGGGACCAGCATCAGCAACATTTGCTGCACTGTTTCGTGCCAATGGAATCTGCTGGCTTTGAAAAGAGCCGAGATAATGGTCTGACGGCAAAGTATTTCAGTGGAAATATACCAAACATCATGTACTGCCTTGCTGCAACTTCTGACATTTTGTCTGCTTTCCCAAACTAAGAAGGGGTGCCTATTGCTATCTTCTGCGATTCACTGACTAT